ATTTAATCATCTACTTAAAAAAATTCATAGCTTGTAAAATTATTTTTAATAAATTGTATGTTCAATATGAATTTAGGATTTTTTCAGACTATTAACTATAATTGATACGTAATTAATAATTTCAACACTATTTGCATTGTTTCAATTCAAAAGTTACAAATATATACGCTCAATAGTTACAAATATAAAGGAATACAGAACCTGTCAACAATTTTTAAAGTTTAAATTGAAAATTGTAGCAAGGTTCTGTATTCCTTTAACAAAATATTTTCTCACAAATTAGAAGCTTAAGCTCTCGATGGAGGAAGACATATTATCCAAATTACGTTCAACTTGATGGTAGTGTAACGACGTTTATGTACTTACAAATGACAGCAATCACGGGCGTTGTGCTACGACCGTCGTCTAAGTGTTTTGAATTGCTTACGACTGATTGGTGTCCAACTGCGTTCCTTTATGCCTGAATGGTGATTTTACCGATGATTCACTGTCTTCTGTCTGCAAAGATACAATAGACTATGTCTACACGTGTACATATGCTTCTAATCTTTTTCTTTTTCTCGTGATTCAAAATTGATTGTTTTAAAATTAACTGACAAATCACTCATTATCATTAAATGAAAGCTATGTCTTATTTTTAATCAAATTTTCAATAAATAGTCCAAAACCAAAACGTACATTAATAGATTTTCCTAGGTTATCAATAAAAAGAAACCAATATAATATCAAAACGTAGTTAAAGATTAATTTAAATAACACCACGATCTTCAAGAATATACTACAGTTCATCAAAGCCATTATTTAAATTGATATTTTACAATTAATACCTTGGTAATTTTAATGTTAATCTATGGATCTATGTATGAAGTATGAAAGTAATACTAAACTTTACTAATCCTTTATATTCATTTAACTTTATCGACTATAATGTGCTATAATTATGTAAAATTCTCAATTTACAAATTAAATAGTTTTAAATAGTACTTTTCATTTCTTAAATAGTAGAAGATTATGTATTTATTCGTTGTTTAATTATAGTATAATTCTTAACGAGACTAATAGAAAATAAACAACAAATCGTATTCTGTTCACTATTAGAATAAAAATATTTCCATTATCACCTCAGGAGATTGCACATCCAATAGAACGTGCGGTCACGAAATCGGCGATCGTGGCTCGTGAAACAATTGTTCGATCGACAACAAAACTTCTTTCGGTGACGATCAGCGTCGAAAAAGCATCGGCGAGCCCCAGGTAAACGAGATTCGTTGAAAATCCCCCACCGATAATGCAATCGCGGGAGGCCAATATTGGCGGGGAAAAGAACGCGCTGTGAGGAAAGGATGGGAACACGCGGACGGATTAGGGTCGGACAAGACAAAAGGACAAGCTGACTCGAGAGCCATCCCCGGCGCGGCTCTGTTCGACTCAGCGCGGCGTGGACCGTTCAGGGCAGCCGAGCGTGCAGTCGACCGGGCCATCCATCGCGTTCCTAGATGCGAAACTGTAGCTCGTCCGCTAAGAGTATGTACGAACCAACATCCACCAAAGTGTTGATATTATAAAATTGTTGGAAAAGTCGGGCACTGTGATCCTCCTTTTATATACAGAATGTCATGTAACTGGTAGTACAGCCGGATAAGGACTCAATCTATGTCAAAAATAAATCGAAAATATATCGGAATAAAATTTGTTTATGTAAGGCTTTGTTTTCGAGAAAATTGACTTGGAATATTCACCGGATACTCTTGACCATGTCTCGTTATTGGATGTCACTGTAGATCATTCTCTCGATTAAAGTTTAGGTTGATAAAGACATACAACGCCACGAAAATGTTTACTGTACTTGAGAGTTAAACATACACCATGAAGCAAAATGTTATAATGATCATAAACCTTATTATTACAGAAATTGTGGAAAATGTACATTCTGTCGAATATATACTTTTGCTTTTCTAATGAAATTTCTATGAACGCTTTCTAGCACATTCTGTTGTTTTAACCCTTTGCGCTCGAAAGGTGACTCCCAGTCATCGCTAGATTTAATATAACAAAATTGTCGTTTCATATATAATATTATGCTCTGTATAATGCATGGATATGTGAAATGTTGAAATAAAATATCTTCGTTTCTTAATTTATGTACGTTTTCCCATTTGTTAGTTTTAAAGAATGTCGTTTATATCTCATTGAAGAGTGTTCCATATTTCTAGGAAAAACTTTCGAGTGCAAAGGGTTAAAGTATGGGGTTTCCCACTTAGAATCCACCAAAGCTTGTTAAAAATTGCACTATCTGTGTCAACTAATATGTGCTGAGCCTTGAAGGACCACATTCCGCTTATTGGTCGCAATATGCCAAGTATTTCGAATTAACTAACGACTACTGCCGCTATGTAGACGCTTCTAACAATTAAACTGCTTTCTGACGTGACTGTGTTATTGAGACTTTACTTTGAGACTACGAAGAGACCACGCTTGAGGGTCGCGCTACAAAGACTATGCTCACCGGCGTTGTTACACTCTTAAGGAGAGTGAATTTCTACCCCTTCCTTGATGATGGGAAAAGGCGGGGCTGAAGAGTGGGTGCAAGATGCTGGTTGAGTCCCTTACGGGGAAAACTGCGAGATTTGGCAACGGCGAGGGGTCCCGCTACCCCGGCCATGTGCGAGTGCACATGACCGCCACCGACTCGCGCTGTTGCCTGGAGATTTGCTCAGCTTATGGCAGAGACACCCTTTAACGGAGCAAAAAGCGCAACACCTGTTGCCTTGAGGGCCTGTCGATCAGGCCCCGGCATGACGCCCTCAGCGCTCCAACGTTTCCGTCCCTGCCATAGACCAGGCCCGTACGAAACCTTAACATAGACTATCACTTGAAACTTGCTGTAGGATAATAAGGATAGTAGGATACTAAGTAAGATAAACATTTTCATGACGCTGCAAGTCTTTATCAAGATAAACTTCAATCGAGACAATGATCTACAGTGAGGTACAGTAACAAGACATGGTCGAGTGCACGCTACTTGGCGAATATTCAAAGTAGATTTCCTCGAAATCAAAGCCTCGTATCAACAAATTTTATTGTATATTTTCAACTTATTTTTTGACATAGAATCAGCCCCGGTTTTACTAGCAGTTACATGACACCCCGTATAATTCGTTAGAAGTATATTTCCCATGTGAAATTTATTTTTTTTGCGTACGAAACACATGATTTTAAAGGAAAGAAAGAAATCAACTAATAACCGACCATCAGTTTCAGACGAAATTTTATAAACTGATTTTTCACGTTCAAACAATGTAGGTAAGAATTCGCTTCGGAACTCTGTTTTTACAGTTTTTTGTGCACTTTAGAAGGACTTATTTCGAAAAGATTATTGAAGGTTAATTCTATTGTACTATCGTATTCTAATTGAAGAATAATCTTCATTGAATTTTCTAGTAATTAGCTTACTGATGATAAGCTGCTTCCTTACTTACTGAATGACTAGCAAATGGTAGTTTTATTGCTTCAATGTATAATATTTCGGTATGAAGTTCTATAATAAACTCCTTAATTTTTACATTATTGTCATGTACGAAATCAATCTTTATACCTGTTTTTTTAAACACTATACGTTTTTTAGACATTAAATTTACTTTTAATCCCTCTTTTTTAAATGTCTTTTTCATTTCCATCGTTTACGTTAAATTTAATAGATAATCAATTTATATATAACTACCGATAAAAATTCATCAAAATTCTTTCACTATTTTAATTTTAATACATCAAAATATCGTATAATAAACGACTACATAATAAACGAATATTATAACGAAGTGCTTTTCTCAACGAACGTATATATAATCAGGAACGTGAAGTAAGAAAAAAAATAATGCTTCTCCTCCCTCCTATTCTATATAATTTATTTCATAAACTTTTTATAAATGTGTATAATAAATAAAACTTAAACATATAGCTATTATAAATTTACGTTGTTATATTTAAGTTGGTTAATAGGCTTTGTTTAATATGAAATATGTGAAACGAAAACATAAACATATAGCTATTATAAATTTACGTTGTTATATTTATGTTTTCGTTTCACATATTTCATATTAACCACGTATGAACAACCCTTAAGTACATGCACAGTTGCTCACAAAACTATTTCCCCATCAACTTATACACCCTACGTATATAACAAATGTTAAACTTGCAGTATAATTTGCCAAGTACAATTTATATTGTCAGAAATCTTATCTCGCCAACTCTAAACTAGAGTACATTCAATTAAGAAATCATATATACTTTGCTAAAAACGATTACTTAACGTGGTGAAGTATACCATACACACGGATGGTCGGATACTTTTCCAACATAATACACACACATGCCAAGTATATATATGTATATATATATATCCCGAACGAAGTACATAAAGTACAAAGCTCCACGCCGAATTATTTACGAACTACTCACCG